TGTAAATCTTACAGTGCCGACGTAAGTTTTACACTTTTTTATTATTAAACTTACAATTGACACATGTAAAATTTTTTATATTTTCTAGATGCAGCCCCAAGGGGTATCGAAATAAAGTCTAAAGGAATACTTTAGGTGTTTTTATTTTAAATAGATATATATGAATAAGTTATATAATTAATAGATATATTAATCAGATAAATAGATATGTGTATTATACATTGTTAACTTGTTGCATTTCTTCTCGAACCGCCCATAATAATTGGTAATGTAATGCTAATTCTGAATCGCAGAGACCATCAGGTCTGTAGAAATACTCTAACCATTTTTGTTGTATTACCTTTACAGCTCTGATTTTTCTACCAATTTCTCTTGCATGTTTAACTCTTCTAATAGCATTCTGCATCCACAATCCATATTGATGCAATGCATGTTCATTATCATAAATATATCCTGAAATTGATTTTTGCTTGATTTTTAGTAAGTACACATCATAACTTACTCCACAATAAGAATTTCCTGTACAATGAGAAGCCCAATGCCTTTCCATTCCTATGTGGTTATAATTTCCAATATTTTTAGTTCGTTTACCGGTATATACTAATTGATTACAAGAGAAACATATAGCAATACCAATTTCAGGTGCATAGCTTTTATAAAATCCATTAACCTCAGACCAATATGTTATTAATTTTCTGGCTTCAAGATATTTTTTACTATTGGTAGGTAGAAGATCATTCTCTCTGAAATATTGTAAGCGAGACCAAATTCGGTTCATCCATTCGGTAGGAGTCTCATTCGATAAAACAATACCCATCTCCAGAATTCCATCCCATTCAGCATTGGTACAATTGGTTCCACGTCTTTCACTTAAGCTAGTCATTTTATACAAACTATTTATAGTGTTTTTTGAGATTATGTGATTATATCGAATTTAAGGATCTAGACCTATTAGATTTGGTTTTATATTGTTAGTTAAAACTGGATTCATTTTTTGTGCAAATTCTATTTGAATCATTTTATCGTATTTTGCAAGCGATTATGGGGTTTGAGCGATAATAATATTAATAAATGGTAAAAAATCGAGATATAGTCGAATGTTCCACAAGATTATTTCTCACTATGGAATTAATAAGGCCTTTTCCTTACTGTAGATAGCTTTTCCAATAAGAAAAAATACAAATGAGACTCAAATAGGATATGAATGAGGAGAGTTTATTGTTCTTTATCAGTAATAATATCAAAATTCATATGTTACGGAACTTGAGATCC